AGCAGCCTCCCTGACCAACAACTCATGAGGAGGTAAATCACATCTAACACTGGAGTCTTTGATGAGCTATGGCTTCTAGGAGCAGCATTATCCAGCCATGCAGGACATCACTCTTCCAAATTTTTAAAGCTTAAGTCCTGTAATTGGCTTATAGAGTAGCAAGTTTCCCTGTGGATTTTCATAGAGCTGTCACTTTGGTTAACACTCCGTGCTCAACCCATCATCTCTTCAATCTCTCTACCCTCATGCCTGCTTCAACCTTTCCATTCTCAGAGCGACCATTCTCCACTTTCATATAATCTCTGTGTGACTAACCCTCTCCCTTAAGACATTCCCCCAAGGGCCCCTTTCTAGGTTCCTGGATTCAACATGTTTTGCAGGTTAAATGCAAAATAAGAGTGTGTAATTTAGGATTCACCGATGAAAAAGAACACAGAGCATTTGTCTCTTTGGGTTAGGGTCACCTCATTCATCATTTTTTTCAAATTCCATCCAGTTCCCTGAAAAGTCCGTTTTCCTTTACAGTTGAATGAAATTCAACTGTGCATATGTGTTACATTTTCATTATCCATTCATAGTAGTTGGACATTTGGAAAACTTTCATTTCCTTGCTATTGTAAATAGAGCAACAATAAACAGGGATGTGCCCGTATCTTGGTAGCAGGATAGAGATTTCATTATCAGTTATATTTTTTATGCTCTCATCCACCACTTAAAAAGAAAACTATTACAGGGTTGAAGCTAGAAAAACAATTATCTAATCCATTGGTCTACCTGCCAATTTTATGCCAGTGTCAGACTGTCATTATCAATAAGGGTCTGTGTTATAATAAGAGGTCAGGTATTGTCATGCCTCCACATGTGTTCTTTCTCCTTAGGATTGCTTTGGCTGTCCAAGGACGTTTGAGGTGCTACAAGAATTCTTGGATTGGGGTCTGGAGAGATGGCTCAGTGTTTAAGGCCATTGGGAACTTTTGCAGAGTACCTGGGTTCAATTCCCAGCACCCACATGGCAGCTAACAACCATCTGTAACTCCAGTTTCAGGTGATCTGACACCCTCTTCTGACCTCCACCGGCATTGCATGACGTGGGTGCACTTACACACATGCAGGCAACATAATCGTACACATAAAATAAAAACACATAATAAAAATATTTTTTTAAAAAAATTATTGGATTGGCTTTCTAGATCCATAAAATATGACACAATAATTTAGGAATATGTTCCTAAATAATACCTCAGCATACCTCAAAATATAAAAATATGTATTGCAAACCGATTGTCAACATTATATTAAATGGGGACATGTGGAAAGCATTTCCTTCAAAATCAGGAACGAGATGTCCCACTTCCCCTCTCTTACTCAATACAGTGCTTGAAGTCTTAGCTAATGCAGTAAGATGTGAGAAAGACATAAAAGTGATATAAAACAGGAAAGGAGTAACTCAAACTGTCCCTGTTTGCAGATGACATGATTCTATACTTACAAGACTTCATAGAATCTAACAGGAAATTCTCTTTCTCTTTGTTTATTTGTTTGCTTGTTTTAGGGACAGGGTCTCACTACCTAGCCCTGGCTGACCTGGAATTCAGTATGTGCTCCAGCCTGGCCTAGGCTCAGAGAGATCTGCTTACCTCTGCCTCCTGAATGCTGGGATTAAAAGCATGTACCTGCCGCTGTGCTTGGTCCAAGCAGAAAACTCTTAGATCTAATAAATACAGCAAAGTTGAAGAATATAAAATCAATGTGAAACATCAGTAACTTTCAATGTACGAAGAATATATTCTCAGGGTAAGAAATTAGGAAATATATTGCATTCATAATGGCTCAAAACAAACAAATAAACAAAACAAATCAAAACAATCAAAGTACCTAAGAATACACATAAGCAGAGAAGTAAAAGACCTCCACAATGAAAATTTCAAGACATTGAAAAAGAAAATTAAATTAAACACTAGACAATGAACAGATCTTCCATGCTCCTGGACTGGTAGAATTAATATTGTGAAATTGGTCATAGTACCAAAATTAATCTACAACTTTAATACAATATGCATTAAAATTATGAGATCACATTTTAGATCTAGAAGAAACAATCCTCTGTTTTCATTATTAGACTTTCATAGTTTTATCTGTAATGTTTATATTTATATCCAATTTAAAGTTATGTATAATGTGTCATCGTGGGTAGGGAAATTATTTATATTTGCATGTGGACATGCAATTATCCTGTTATTTTTGGAAAAATCTGTTCTTTGTCTCTGATGCATTTTGGCAACCATTTTGAAAATAAGTTCTACAAATGTGCAAATTCTCCCCTGCCACTCTGTTCCACTTATCAACTTATTATATTAACTGTTGGCAGCAGAAGGAATGAGCCTAAAATTTTTTTAAAGCATTATGTCTGTGATTATAGGTCCTTTCAAATTCCATGTAAATTTTATTCAGTTTATGTCTACACAAGGGGCCTGCTGAACATCGTGACTAGCGTGGTGTTTAGCATATATAACACAAGGTGAGAATTGACATTTTAACAGCATCACATCTTCCTAACCATGAGCAGAGTGAACCCCTTGGTTCTTTGCATTAATTCTATTTTCCATGGAACCTAGGAGATGGAAAGGAACAGTTCTGAAAAAAACAATAACTCTCAGAAACTCTGTTCAGGCGCAATATTTGAATCTTAGGTTCAGTGTACATGGAACAAAGCAGGTCATGTGTCCAAGTATTTGGTATGTATACTGGGAGCTGCTGTCCTCCATAGCATAGAAGAATACTTACATCAAAGGACCATGTACAGGACAGTGCTAAATTTTTCTAATTAAATTATTTACTTATTTATTATTTATTTATCTGGTGTGGTGTATGTATGTATATGTGTGCTCAGGCGCATGTGCATGTATTTGAGCATGTGTGTGGAGGCCAGGCAGAACTTGCCATTAGTGTCCTTCCTCAAGCACTTCACCACCATATTTTTTGAGACAGGGTCTCTCACTGAACCTGGAACTCCTCATTTCAGATAGACTGGCTGAGCATAAAGCCTCAGGGACCGTCCTGTCTCTGCCTCCCAAGTACTGGGATTACAAATGTGTCACTATGCTTAGCTTTTATGCAAATCCTGCACATCCAAACTTGAGCCTTCATGCTTCCACAACAAGCACTTTGCTAAATAAGCCCTTTATACAACTTGCCAATTTTAGTGTTAATAAGTGCAATCTACTGCAGTCATTTGGTCCTAATCATGCTGTTATTAGTGAATTAGCAAAATTAATCAGAACAGTCACTTAGAACTCTCATTTTATTAATGAGTGCCGTATGCACACTATTACCTTAGTCAAAGTTGTCCATTTATGTCTCTTTCAATGAAGAATTTCCTGACTTATTTTTTTCTAAGAACTTCTTGGGAAAATCTACACTAAAAATAGTGCTTTGAGTTGTCTGAACCCTTTCTACAATCTTGCAACACTTAGTACATTGTTTCCTTCATATGAAGTTCATGCTTGTGATCCCAAGAAAATTGGCCTCAAAACAGATATGCGTCATTGCATTTTTCACCAATTGTCTTATTTATTGATGTTCAATATCTCTGAAGTCACCTAAGCACTTGAAGAGGAGGAGCGTGCTCTTGATTTTGTTCGCCACTGCTTCTATGCAGTGTCAAAACTCCTTACAAGGTTGCTTGGTATTTCCATCTTCCTTTTGAAATGACGACTTCTCCGTCCTCCATTCCACCCCTGAAATTCACTCTCAGGTCCAGGTGAAAATAATCTTTTAAATTCCCACAAGATTCTTAAATTCTCTTTCCTTTGTGAGTTTACTAATGCAATCTTCCTTTGTTATTTAATAAATCCCACTGCAAAATGAATTCTTGGTTAATTTCCAAGTCCCAACAACATCCATTATCTATAGCTGCAACTAAAATTTAGGAAAGGTCACTTATTTATGCTTGAAATTGTCTCCTAGGATCTCTGACAGAAGCCTACTTCCACACTGCAGTTCTAGAACCTGGTAAGTAGTACAGTCTTATTAAAAATTACTTCAACTGGCAGATCTAAGTGCTGGCCCTTTTACCTCCAAAGTTCAAAACAGTTTATGCATGTTGTCATATACCATTGGAGAATTTAAATAGATAGGGCAAAGAACTATCATTGTATTTGAGCTCTTCTCCACAAAAATGATGTGATATATTATTTAGGAGATGAGAGTGCATTTAAAATTGTATAATTGCACGTATTTGTAGGAGAAACAGATTCATATTTTAGTGAGAGTGAAATTGTGGCCAAAAGAATCTGATGCTGTTCCTTTGGTCATGGAGGCTAAGGCTTTTCCTTTGGTTGCATGCATACATTGTAGCAAACATGACAACCTCCTTGACAAGTGCCAGCAAAACTAGTTTCCTAAGTGTAACTGCTGAGGATCACTAGGAAACCACTACTCATAAATGTCTGGTCAGTCCTTTGAAATGTACAACTGTTATATAGCTGCTATCTGAAGCCTCATTCCAAAGTTGTTTAAAATCCCGTAAATATGATCCATTTTTATTTGATTTTTCAGCAAGGATATCTTGCTGAAAAACCAAAGGTTCAAAACCCTTTATTATAGGTGATTACAGGTGGTTTAAAAAAGACTGAATGTATGTATGTTGTGTAAATATGTTTCTCTGTATGTGAAGGACGTGCATGCCAATGTGCTCGAGCTATTGTTGGTAGTAGTATGTGGATGAAAGGATACACACAGATGAAGGTGTATTGGTCATATTATTTTCATTTGGCTGGCATTTAATGCCAAAAAAATGTTATTTTCAGTACATTTATTTGCAGAGTATTTATTACACATCTTACATTCTATAATATTATTTCAAGTCGGCATATTGCATGAGAAGAAGGAATAAGGATAGTTTGTCACAGGAAAGGAAACTTTATGAAAGTAGACTCTTGGAAATGGGAGGTGTTTCTTGAGTCAGTCAAACTCCTCATCATTCTTACTTTTTTATACAGGCTTTGAACCCAGATAATGGACATGGCCAATAAGTCTGCCGTGACTGAATTTGTTTTGCTGGGGCTCTCCAACTCCTGGGAACTACAGATATTTTTCTTTATCGTGTTCTCACTGTTTTATGTGGCAACAATAGTCGGTAACAGCCTCATAGTGATCACAGTTCTAGCTGACCCTCACCTGCATGGTCCTATGTACTTCCTGCTGACCAACCTTTCTGTCATTGACATGGCTCTGGCTTCCTTTGCCACTCCCAAGATGATTACAGACCATCTAACTAATCATAACACAATCTCTTTTGATGGATGCATCTCCCAGATATTCTTTCTCCACCTTTTCACTGGTACTGAGATAACTTTACTGATGGCTATGTCTTTTGACAGATATGTTGCAATTTGTAAGCCCCTGCACTATGCTTCAATCATAAGTCCCCAGGTGTGTGTCGCCCTTGTGGTTGCTTCATGGATTGTAGGAATCTTGCATTCAATGAGCCAGGTCGTATTTGCTCTCACGCTACCATTCTGTGGTCCCAATCAGATAGACAGTTTTTTCTGCGACCTTCCTGTGGTGTTCCAGTTGGCTTGTGTGGAAACATATGTGCTTGGCCTCTTTATGATATCAACAAGTGGCATTATTGCTTTGTCCTGCTTTGTCCTTTTGCTTAATTCGTATGTTATTGTGCTTGTTACGATCAAGCACCATTCCCCCAGAGGGTCCTCAAAGGCCCTTTCAACCTGTACAGCTCACTTCATTGTTGTCTTCATGTTCTTTGGGCCATGCATCTTCATCTATATGTGGCCACAGAACAGCTTTGTGATAGAAAAGATCCTGTCTGTATTTTATACCATCTTTACTCCCATTCTGAACCCAATAATATATACGTTGAGAAATCAAGAAGTAAAGACAGCCATGAAGAAACTGAAAAGTAAGCTTCTAAATTCCAGGAGAGAAGCTCCCTCACATTCTTTTCCGTTTTAAATCCCTCAGCAGAGGTTTAGTGTCAAACAGTGTTTCCAAAGATGTATTTTTGTTTCTGGACTTCATTTAAAATTGTAATTGCCAAGAATTTCTAAGGTTATCAGACTGGGTATTTTTAAGTGTATGGAAAAATATATTTGAAAATTTAAAAAGGAAATTAATGGAAATACTTTTTCCAGAAACAAAACTATCTATAAAAATGCAAGAAGTCATTGTTTTGTGAAGATTTCCAATAATCAGTGCAATAGAAAATATCAAATAATAACTGATCAAAGGAGGAAATTATGTACACATAGCAACTCAAGAAAATCCCTAAAGTATGACAAATTGCCAAGATTTCTGTAATCCTTAAATATTCTAAAGTGATGTAGGAAATTAATTTCTGTCCCATAGTCACCTTTTGCATTTCTGAGTCACTTATACTTCACATTAAATCAATTTGTGACCTCTGTAATTAGAGAAAATTTGGGGTATGTAAATACAGAAATGGAGAAGTATGTAGAAATGATGTAAATGTGAATTTCCATCAACCACCTCAGTTAAGGCTCACAGCAACCTACCTTGGTACCTCCAGGCACCTCAGTTAACCAGCACAGCAACATTGCCTAGACACCATCAGCAACCTCATTATTGAGAATAGCAGCACTGTATGATACCTCCAGCCACTTCAGTTAATCAGCACAGCAACACTGGGCTGATACCTGCTTCTGACAGTGCAGATTCAAGGACATGCGCAAGTATCGTACAAACCAGAAAATGTTACGAACTCCAAAGCTCAACTTTAAGGTACCATGGGTCCATAAGGTACCAGGGAAAGTATTATTCCTTTTAATAATTTGGAAAAGTAAATTTCTCATTAGTAATACACTATAAATTTAATAAGTATGTTTTTATATACAATTTGGTTTTGTTAGTGTTTTAAATATTAGCTTTTATGTACTCAAGAAATCACTACCACCTGTTGGTAGTGACTCTCATTGCAAGTATTGAAGTGCAAAATATTGTAGTTTTGTGTGCTTTTGAAGTCATCTTTCAAAAATGATAGGAAGCATGAACTAATTCAAATTATGTGGGATTTACTAAATGGTATTTGTAAAAATAGTGTGTCAAACATATTATCCCATGTGTATCTACTAAAGGTAAGATAATCTTGCAAATGAGTATTTATAAATCTCTAGGTGTTTTCAATTTGGGGGATTATTGAGAAAATGGAAAAACCACAAATTTTATATGGATTAAGTGAAATACATTGAGAGATAAATTAAGAGAAAGAAATACCTAGGTTTTCAGTTTAAGGCAAATAAGAAAAGGGATGTATTGTTTTTCCTCATTGTGTTTTTTCATTAACTCTATTAAACAATGAAACAAATTTAGTGTAAAAGTGTCTGATATTGTGTTTAAAATATAATTATTTTAAAAACAATAAAATTGTTTATGGTATTAACATAAGCACAAAACACATTTCTGCCAGTGAAATAACAGCATGATTCTACTTGAAATTCTATTATAAATGACTTGATTTATGCTGCGTGTGAACATTGTCTTAGTTGCAGCTACAGGTTAAGGGTTAAGGACCTATTCATTTAGCACACTCAGCTCGTGCTTCGGTAATGCCCCAAATTAGTTCCTGTAATATTTATTAGTCCAATGAATCTTTTAAAAATTGAACTGCTTTTTGCAATATTAAACTATGGAATGTTTGACAGGGATATTGTCAACTTTCAGTGCTTATGTGGAAATTCTGAAACTTAAGAACACTTGCCAAAATCCCTCAATGTTATAACTGATCAAAAGAGAACTCTGTAATGCAAGTCAGTAATGAGACTGAGAAGTTGGATTGAGAATAAGACTTTGTAACAGAAAATGAAAAGAACTGGACAGACTCTGGGAGACTTCATATATAAAGAAAACTCCTTCCTTGGTAGATCAACATGAGGATCCAGCATTGAAGGTATCTCTGCATGTTATGTAGACACTTAAACTTCTTAAACAGGATCTACAATTGGTAATTTTATCATTCTGGCTCCTTGATAAGCTATGGATACTATTTTATGAACCATAAGCACAGTGGTGTAGCTACAAAGCTCTCAAGCACTGGTTTAAAAAATGGTACTATTTACCACTAAGTAACCAATGCAGAAGTGATTGCAAAACATTCTGGATGAGCAGAAGCCAGCAACCATCATGACAAGAGCCAGTTTTAAAAGGTCTGCACTATTTCCAATAATATTATTAAGAGAATGTTGAGATATAGAGTATATTTAAGGGCATTATGTTGACTTTGCCTTCCCTTAGTGTTTGGGGAGCCATTATGTCAGATGGCTGTACATTTTAAAGAATGTTAAAAGCCAAATATAAAATATGCTCTATACAATTAAGCAAAATAATTAAATGCAAGTGGACAAGAGACTGCCAAAAACCAGGTATGAAGTGCTGGGGATATAGCTCCATTGAGAGAATGCTTACCTGGCACGTATGAAGTCCTGGTTGAAGTCTGCTGTGGAGGAAAAATCAGATAAAATGTATATTGTAATATATAAAAGAATCAGATATATGTAGTGAGGATGAAAAATTCAAATTATGTTTGATTCTAAAAGCATTTGATAATAATTTCATAATACTATACAGATCAAAGATGGTAGAGCTACGATGAAGTTACCAAAACTGAAGTTTCTCATGTTACCTGGCAACACTTTTTGTAATGTTCATTTTCATCAAGGGGTCCCCTTAAATTATAAATAATTTTGGCTCTGCAAACCCTTGTTCTGCCATCAGGATGGATAATGCCATCACCACAGGGTTGTCTTATGAATGAAGAAAGGAAATCATGCAAAGCCCATGGTCACATTTAACAAGTGTTAGTCATTCAGTCATTCTTGGTGATCAATGCTCAGTATTTACTTGAGTTTATAATTCTATTGTGTATCAAAAGATTATTTTTTGCATGTGTTTGTGTATTGATGTACATATGTGTGTATGTGTATGGTGACACATGTGTGTGAGTGATTGAATATGAATGTGTGTCAACACCTGCAAGTGGAAGCCAGATGTTCCTTGAAAGCTCTCCGTCTTATGTTTAGAGGCAGTCTCTTACTTGAGCTCAGAGCTAACAGATCCTGCTACGCTGGCTAGCCAGCATTTCCTGGGAAATCCCCTGTTTCTGCCTCCCAAGTGCTGGGATTAGAGGCAGGCCACAGGCCCAGCCAGACTTTATGTGAGTGTTAGGGATCTGAACGCGTATACACACACTTGCATGGTAAGTGCTCTACCCATTAAACCCTCTCCTCAGCCCCCATTAAAAGATATATTTTTGTGTTTTATATGTTCATGTATTCTATATGTGTGATGGCTAATACTGGGTGTCAACTTGACTGGATCTGGGATTAACTGAAATGAGAGAGACCTTCTTGATTGGTTCATCTGAAGGGGAAAGACACATCCTAAATATGGGTATTACCTTCTGATGGTGGCCCCTATAAAAGGCCATGGCAAAGGACAGCACTTGCTTTTTGCCTCTGGACTTCTCTCTCACTGTGAGTTCATCTTGCTGCTGTAGACTGAAGACTTAAGACTAGCACATTGTTTGGAATTCATCATGCCTTCAGAGCCATATTGGGACTACTGAGCCATCCAACCTCATGGATGGAGCAAACTATTGGGCTCTCAGCCTCACCAGTGTGGTGCAACCCTTTTTTGGACTACTCAGACTCTATCCTGTATCTAATCTAATAAATCCATATATATATATATATATATATATACATATATATATTTGTGTGTGCGTGTGTGTGTGTATGGGTGTGTGTATTCTTTCAGTTCTGCTTCTTTAGAGAACCATGAATAATACAGATTGTATGTTTTAAACTATTGCATATCGATATGCATCTGGATTAGTTGGAATATTAAAAGTGACTTCTACTGGAAAATTGCATTAATCCTTATTAATTCAAGTTTTTAGAAGCTTATTTTCTTTCTGCTTGCAAGGTTTGTCAATCAATGGAAACTTTAAATTGCTGTTGAATCATTATTTTTGTATTGCTTCTTCATAAGGAACAATTTTGAAATTAACTTAGAGTATAATTTCAAAATTTTCATCTGTAATTTTTCATCAGAATAAGAATGATGATATTTAGAGGATGTGGAGCAGCTCATTCACTGCTGGTGGGATTGCAAATTCATGCAACCCCTATGGAATACAGTGTAGAGAACTCTTAAAAAACTAAAAATGAACCTACCATATGACCTGATTATACCACTCCATGTCATATACTCAAAAGGACTCATCCTAGTTTATAGACACTTGTACAACCATGTTTGTTGCTGCTCTTTTCACAATAGATAAGAGAGGGATGCAACTTAAATGCCCATCAACTGACCATTGGTTAACAAAAATGTGGTCCATTTAAAACAATGAAGGTCTTTTCAGCAGTAAGAAGAAATGAAATAATGAAATTTTCAGGCAAATGGATGGATCTAGAAACTGTTATTAAGTAACACAGACTCAGAAAACTAAATTAAGTAAATTAAGTAACACAGACTAAATTAAGTAACACAGACTCAGAATTAAGTAACACGGACTCAGAAAAACAAAAGATGCATGTTCTCCCTCGTCTGTGGGTCCTAGCACCAAACCCTTATAAGTGACTGAATACCCTGGTGCAACTGCAGGGACCAGGAATATGGAAAGGAAACAGGGAGGTAGGTAGAGGGAAAGAAAGAACCTGAGAGAGAAGAATAATAGGATAAGGGAGAAATATGTAAAATGGGGCTAAAGGGGGAGGAGAAAGGAGGGCTGTACAAAGAACTATGGGAATAAAGGGAAAGATTCTCCAGAGACACAGTTAAAAAATGCCTTAAGGACAGAAGGAGCCCTATAGGAATGGAAGACAGCCCTTCCAGAAGAAAAATGGTTGATAAATGAAAACCTAGTGCCAGAGTGGGTTGCCCCTCTATGAGCTGTTGGCCTGAGGGGTTATAGAGTTCCCTAAAACAATAAAAGT